GTGGTTTTGAACTCTATATCCAGTCGTTTGCTTTCCTCCATTTCTGTCATTTGTGATCTGTTTCTTTGTCTCCACATTTTTTTATGCTTCGCTGTGTCGATAGAGTGGCTCTCTGTGGTAGGTGTCCCTTGGGCCCAGTGGCTCAGCCTCCCCAATTACCTGAGGTAGACACTCTTGGTGCACCCCCTTGTGGGCTTTGTGCACAGTCTTGTTGTAGTTAAGCCTTGATTGTTGTAGGTAACATTGGGAGGGATTGACCTTAAGGCCAATTGACTGTGAGAATCAGCTGTGTCTGCAGTGAGAGAAATTCTGTGCTGGAGACACCCCTCTGGGACGAGACTTGCTACAATGGGACTTTGGTGGTCACTGAGTCTACCCCCTGAGTGTGTCCTTTATGGATCCGAGGAGCTGCAATCTGGATGGTCCTACTCTGACCACCATGCACACTGGCTCCTGGATTTCTAAGGAGATGCTAATCTAGCCTTTGCCTGAGGCTACCCAGCAGGAGCCAGCTGTGACTCAATGCAAGTTGCCCTGCAGCCTTGGGCCAAGTGCAGTTTGTTAGGTAATTATCAGATTGCAAAGGGCCAGGCCTTTCATATGCAAAAGCCTCCATGCAAGGTTTGGGCGGTGTCCCAGAGGATTAGCAGGGCGGAGTGAGCAGTTATGGCTGCTCTCAGTTCTGCCCTCAGAGGCCCTGCTTCTCAGTGTCCCGGCAATTGCTGCAAGCACCTCCGAGAGAAAGCTGCCCTGAAGTTCCGACCGCTGCCAGACAGTCCTGTTTCTCCCGTATGAGTCTGGTTCCCCAGAGACTCGTCCGGAACTGGAGCTCAGAGCTTGAGACTCCCTCCCGATTGAAAAAGACAACCGTGTCCTCAGCTGCCAGCCCTCTCCGCATGCACCTCTTTACCTCTGTATTTTACTTCCACACCGCACCTCCTCTGAGTCTCGATATGCTTTTCTCTTCCCTTCTAGTTGTAGAATTTCCACTCAGCCAGCCTTCCTGTGGTTCTGGATGATGTCCTTTCCGTCTTTTAGTTGTATTTTTGAAGTGGTTGTGCGGGGCAGCCATCTCCGGTGTTTATCTATGCCGCCATCTTGGTTTTTTTCTGTTATAATTTTTTATTACATGGTCAGTATGTTTTTATTTCTTGCCAAAGCAATCTTGTTTTTCACTAATAAGTAATGACTTTTGTGTTCTCTTCACTATCATTATTATTGATTAGAAATCTCCAGTCAAACAAGTATATATTTCTAATGGTATTACTGTTGATTTAAGAATTCAAGAATGGCCTGTAATTTTTCCTACCTTAATTTAGTAAATGTCATTTGGTGCCTCTGCTTTTGAAAGTGCTAAGCTAATTATTGCAGTATTAGTCAGTCAGTGTATGCTTAATTTCTTGTCTGTATTTTTTGTTTCCTCCATCAGCCAATACCACTCCTGAAACAGAAGATGAATCATTCCATCACAATGTCTCAGGAACAGATTGCCAGTCTTTTAGCTAATGCGTTCTTCTGCACATTTCCACGTCGAAATGCGAAGATGAAATCGGAGTATTCCAGCTACCCAGACATTAACTTCAATCGGTATGTTTTCAGAGAACATCTCTTTAACAATGAAATAGAGAAGGATGGAGAGAACCAATAGTATTTATGGATTTGCCTCAGGCCAACATTTTTTGTATACTTACTTAACTTATTGCTTACAATAAAGTGAGTTGAGTGATGTTTTTGCCATTTTGCAGACAATGTAAGTAAAGTTTCTAGAACTTGATTAGGGTCCAGGAACCAAGAAGTCACAGAGCTGAGGCTGATCTCAGATGGTCTTACTCCATGGTCCATGTTATTTACAGCATGTCAGGTTGTCCTTCTGCTCTTTGAGTGCCTGAACTCTATGCCTCTTCAGTGTGATAGTCACAGGGACATTCATTGTACATTGTATCCTTTGTGTGCTTAAAAATGGTAGAGCTGGAGTGCAAAGTTCTCCTTTTTGTGATGTTTGAGTTGAAAGACATGAGGCTGATTATCTTATGAAACTTAAAAAACATGAAAAGCAAAAGTGAAAATTGACTTTGTATAGACATGATTATTTTATCAGTGGAATAGTTTTAAAAAGGAAGACAAAAGAATGTTTATATACCGTATTTGCCGGCGTATAAGACGACTGGGCGTATAAGACGACCCCCTAACATTTCCACTCAAAATACAGAGTTTGTTATATACTCGCCGTATAAGACTACCCCCTCTTCCGCACACCTTCCACACACCAAATAAAAGGTAAAACAATATCAGATTTGATTTTAACATTTTAATTTATATTCAAATGCTTATGACATGCAGGAAAACTGTCACAAGGCTGTATGTAATCAAACATATACATAAAACAGTGCAAGTTTATTACCGGTAAACATACCGGTAATTCACTAAAGAAAACACACTCTATAGACTGGTACCGTAGATGCTTCTCAGGAACACAGGCAAGCAGCCCACAACCTAGAGGGACTGTCAATGATAGAAGAAAGAT